GGTCGCTACATCTTCGTCTCCAATAATGTCATCATCAGGAGAAAATCTCGCCCCGCTTCCCACACTCAGCACCCCGCGGGCTCGCTAGCAAGAAGGAGCGCATGCTCTCTTTAGTAGTATTATTGTATAGTATTTTCTTATTATTTAGATTTGATCAAATGATTAGGTTCTTTGTTGCCGCCGAAATATGGCTGATTTACCCCCGGAGGGGTAATTACCCCCAGGTTCTAGGGCTACACCAGATTGAGTAACTAATAAGTCATTATACAAGTTTTAGAAAACGTTCATACGTTTTTTATTAGCATTTATAAAGTGACTCCATAAAAAGTGTATATTTATCATTCTGTTGCGTATAATAATAAAAAACCGAAAAATGAAAATCCTGTCTTCAAATATGTCGCGAAAACGCTTCTCTAGCAAATATGGCGTCATACAGGCAGATGACGTCACACGGCTCTTATTAAAACGTTAAACAGTACAAAGTAATGTCAGTTCGACGGCTGGCTTACAAGCAGAAGACGTCATTTTAGGCTCCGCCAATCGTAGGCGTTCACGTTCACGTGCCTTAATTGAAAAAAAATCTTTTGTAATTCATGATTTTTTGTAATATTATTTATTACTCTTTTCGACAGAACAGTGAAATCGCCCCCAAAATTCATGTTAAATGCATATGCCTATACAATATTGGTACTTAATTTTTCATACTGTCACAAAGCCTATTACATTCCTATTAATATTTCTGTTACATTTACAGGCAGCGTAACCAGCTTAGGATCTGCCCTTGGAAAAGCTCTTGGTAAGTTTGTGTACATAATTTTTTTCATACATAACAATCGAGTATTCAGAGACGCTAATAACTTGCTTTACTGATTCGTTGAGTTGCTTTATTCAATTCAAAAAGTTAATGGTCTAATAGGGTATTTGACAAATTTTAGAAAACGATCTCACGTTATTGACTAATGTTTATGGAGTCCGTTAAAAGTGGATATTCATCATTCTGTTGTGTATTTCAATAAAAATAACCAAATCAAAAACTCCATTTTAAGTTGCCGCGAAAACGTTTCTCTTGACAATATGGCGTCTTACTAGTGTGTGAGGTCACACGACTATTATTAAAACGTCAAACGATACGATGTAATGTCACTTTAACCGGAAGTTTACTTGCGTGTGAATCGCCAATCGCGCTTATATACGCCGATCGACGCATTCTAGAAAGTACCTGTTGAATTGAGGATTAGCTAGCACCCGCGAGTACATACTTACGCAGGTAACTCGCAAAACTTGTAAACAAGTGCAGATGTCGTTGCACTTTCTCCCTTACACCGCACTGCATAAGGCTCATTTTAGAATGAGCCGCATTACTCAACCTCTATCGCGACTCGCGGTGCTCTGGCAAATTCGATCTCTAGCACTTTCGCGGTTCCGTTTCGAGAGCGTTTGTGACAATACACATATTATTGGTTTGCACCCTTTTTCATAAACATTAATTAATTATTAGTATTTAATATTTATGCTTTTATTTTACTTGTTGCAGGTTCGGTAGTCGGAGGTAAGCTAGAAATTAATGCAACTCAGAGAATGATTAGTTTAAACGTCCCAAGCGTCATTCATAATGTTATACAACACGCTTGTTTGATCTATTCAAGAAACCATCTGCGTGTGTGTATGCCGTCTTTGACCTATCAAAGACGGCACTGAAAATATCACATTCTTTCCCTCTCAAACATATCCCTCACTACATTGTGGGAGAGGGACGAAATACCTCAGACTGAAAATTAGAATTGGTTTCTTGAATATTAGAAGCCCTGGGCATATTAAGATAATGGGGCCCCTATGAACAAGGGACTTCGTATTTGATCTGAAAGGGGCCCCTATTGATCGCGGGGCCCTCGGCACTTGCCCAAAGTCCCCAATGGGAAAGACGGGTCTGGATATTTTACTGCATTACAGCTCTTAACAGCATACAACTAAGCAAATATTTTGATGCAACTACAGAAACCAATTGAAAATGTATGCGCGAGAAGGACAGAATGTCTCACGTCGCCATTTTGGATTCATTGCTTTACTGGCGCGAGATATAACTTTTAAATATATTTCTAAGCTTTAACTCTTTAGAGGTCATTACTGATTTGAAAATGAAGCCCCTAGAGTCTAGACTAACACAGGTCCCGTGCACCGCATATGGTATGAACTCGGAGAAAACCACTCACTGTGGAGTGCACTTTGGCTATTGATTGTTTATAGAAAGATGGCCTTTTGTAAGAAGCTTGACGGCGAAGTGCTTAGGGCGTTCGGCTGCGATCGTTGAAGTTAAGCACATTCGCAGTGGTCGGACATTGGTTGGGTGACCGAAAATTTACTGTTTCGAGCTCCCTCGTGTTTGGAAGGCATGTTAAGCCGTTGGTCCCGGCTGCATATGCAGTCGTTAGCACCCACCAATCTGCACTGGGCCCGCGTGGTGGGTCATGGCCCAAACTCCCTATTCAATCCATAGGGAAAACCTGTGCCCCCGAAGTTGGGACTTTAATAGGCTGATGATGATGATGGCCTTTTGTGAGCTCTTATGTATATATGTGTGTGTGACTGTGTATTGTATTGCATTATGACTAAATATATATATAAATATATTTAGTCATAATGCAATACAATACACAATACTTTGTTGAAAACACCACAGTGCAGTACAGAAATGGGGCAAACACATGATGTGTGAACATAGTGCTTCAATGGGCGGTCTTGTCGCTAAATGCGGATTCTTCCCAACCTTTGGATGGAGAAGATTGAAAGGAACTGAAGTCAACGGTGTTACTAAAATAAATAACGGATATAAACAATAATTTATAATCTATACTAATATTATAAAGAGGAAAGGTTTGTATGTAAGTATGTTTGTAACGAATTGGCTCAAAAAGTACTGGACCGATTTTAAAAATTCTTTCACCATTTCAATGCTATATTATCACTGATTAATATAGGCTATAGTGTATTTTCAAAAAAGTTAGGGTTCAAATCGGAACAGCAGAGCAATATTGCATTCGATACAACGGGTCCTAAACTACGTAACGAATTTTTTTACTTGGAATGGAAGGTTTATAATTATTATGAAAAAAGTCATTGTGTATAATACAAGCCTTTGAACAAAAACTATAGTCTACACTACAGCTCTACACCGAAACAAAACGAGGGCGGGCCACTAGTATTAAATATACGTAAACATACATAATTATAATATAAATATATGACACATACATTCTTAAACTACACACATATAACTTTAGTAGTATTAATACAACGTAATACAATACATTATGCACTCAATGGTAAATACATGTGTAAAAATGCTTCCATAGTACGTCTTATCGCTAAAAGCGATAATATCTTCAAGACAAATTTTGGATGGAGAGGATTCATAAATGAGTCAGTAAAGTTTTTGAATATAACATTCTAATTGAGACTATTCTCTTCTTTTGCAGAAGTCCTTAAAGTAGTGTCTACCCTCGTAGCCAGCATTGGAGATGTCCTTATATCCCTCTCAAAAGCTCTTGGTAGGTATAATGTTACTATTCTTCTAAAAACGCTAAGTTGAGACCGTTGCACATAATAAAAGAAAGATTTTATACAATGAAATTACATCATACGCTTTCCTATGTCGATTTCGATTAATAGTTATTTATTATACAAGAGTGGAAAGTTCCTTTTTAACCGCGTGCTCGATTTGGATGACCGAGCAAGCGAAGGATTCTAAAGTTGAATCACGAGCGCAGCGAGTGATTCTAAATTAGAATCCTGAGCGTCAGCGAGGGAAACAAACGAGCACAAGGTGAAAAATCTTTCCACTCGAGTGCAATACGTAACTTTTCATCCCACCTCAGCGAGGAAATGACAAAATGAAAAAGAAAACAATTTATAATGACAAAATATTTAAGCAATAAAACGTGAAAAACTAGAATGGCGCGAAGCACGCAAATAAAACAAAGAAACCAAGAAGGTTCCAAATTTAAATTTTTTCACAATTTAAAAAGTTCTAATCATAAATTTGGCACCATAGAGGTTACATTAAATAGGTTTAATGACGTTTTGAATTTACAATTATATTGAGTACTCATTATATGTGATGTTCTAAATTCAAATCTACTTTGCCGCTCAAGCGAATAAAATAGAATTTTCCAGCCAGATTTCGAAGCGCAAAATTACACTTTCCGAGGTGGTGGGATGAAAAGTTATTTGCTTCTTTATCATCTTCTTTTAACTAATGCTTTTCTTCTTGTATTACAGTATCATAGAAAGTAAATCTTCGTCGCCGTCCTTCCGATAGGTATGTTGTTATCAATTTATTACAAAATAATGGTATTAATTTCTGGATAAGTTACAACTAGTGTGATAAATATATTGAAATTCAGTGATATTTATAAACATAACTAGGGAACAAACATTTGTGGTCATCACACAAATAAATTCTACTACCGAGATTTGAACCCGTAACTATTGGAACAGAATGCAGGAACACCGCTGTTGCACCAACCGGTAGTCATGGTGGGTGTAGGAAGGCCAAAGAGGAAGATCTTTCATCAAGCTGGATGATGTTAGCTCGAAGACCGCGGCCCGACTGATGTTAGTCGTTTATATATTAATTTTTAGCCTTCGATTTTCTCTTGCGTGATGTAGGCTTTCATACATTTTTGAGTGCGGCGCCGGTATATGTTGCTCCATCGTCATCTGTTGTTTTGGACTGTCGAGTCTTGCTTCATTACTTGTATGTGGGGCGAAAGATGTCACATAGTAGATCATAATGTGATTTATATGATGTATAGTGTAAATGGGATTTAGAGAAGTTTGTTCGTAGTTGAAATTGAAATTAATACTTTTTTCTTATATCTTTGTTTCAGTTAACGACCCGATATACAGCTGACCAAGGATCTTTAAAACTACACAATTTCACCAGAATATCGTGTGACTCAGGAGGATCACTTCAAAACAAGCGAAAATTCATTCTTTGACATGTCTAAATAAATAAGAAGCAAGTTTAATATTAGTTTCATTTCATTCCCATTATTTGGTAAGTATGATTCGATTTTGTTGTCAGTGGTGTACCCAGGGTTCAGGTTTAGGGCGAGCTCAGAGCTCAAATGGAGCTATGTTTAAGGCTGGCTGTCTGCTGCATTTTTGACCTTATTATTTCTAATATTTTGTTTTTGACACAAAATCGATTATGCCGCGAGCGAAACGGCGCGAGTCCGCGTCGCTTTGCAGCCGACTGCGTTTTCTTTTCTCTCTCCACAGACGCCTGAGTTGTATTGTTGTCCTTTTCTTGATTATAAATGGCGAATCAGTATTCATTCATGGCAAACCACAATTTTTGAGAAAAAAATATTTTTATAGTTTTACGAATGAAAAGTGTTGCCGTAGCATTTGTTATTTGTTCTTGAACTATTTGCGTTCTTTATAAAAGCATTGAAGGCATTGTTTTATCTTTATAACGTAAAATATACGCAATATTGTTATATTGAGTGCGCATGCAGCGTGTTTGAATGTCCAATTGTGACTAAAGTGAATTGTGGTCATGCACCACAATTTAAGCAGATCACTTTTGAGTCGCGAGTGCCATATCTTTTTGGTTTAATCTAAGGGCCTAAATGGGAGAGTTTTGTCAACGATTACACCGAGATAATTAATTTGGTTTACACTATTGACAACTGAGCATCGGTCTCTGAATGTCGGCCTCATAACAAAACTCAGAGTCGCGCAGCGTGCTATGGAGAGGGTTATGCTCGGTGTTTCCCTACGTAATAAGATCCGAAATACGGAGATCCGTAGAAGGACCGGTGTGTACGACATAGTCCGAAGAGTTCGCACGCTGAAGTGGCAATGGGCAGGCCACATCGCTAGAGGTTCTGACAACCGTTGGTTAAGAAAGGTCCTCAAGTGGCGACCACGTACCGGACGACGCAGCGTGGGACGGCCCCCAACAAGGTGGACTGACGACATGGTCAAATGTGCTGGGAGCCGCTGGATACGGATGGCGCAGGACCGCGTATTGTGGCGTTCTATGGGGGAGGCCTATATCCAGCAGTGTTATTTTGAGAGGCAAAAAGTGTGTAGGGATATTTCTAGATTTGGCTACTTTTACAAATAGTACAATATTAACGAGATATTATAAATCCTTCAAACAAAAATGGGTACTATAAGTGATATTACTAATGTGCTTGATGACTTATCAGTATCGAGCTCCCATAGGTGCGAAGCGAGCAGTTGTAAAAAACTTCTTCCTGATAGTTCCGATAGTATTAGAATCCTCGCCCAAAACATACGTAGCATTTCTGCAAACATAAGTAGCTTTACTAATCTTTACTATGTGGTAGTAATTGTATATATCAGGAAATCCATAAGAGATACAGTATTTACTGAACCAGCTTTTATGGATGCAAATTGCCTGGTCTTGAAATTGGGCCATGATACATGTATTTTGCCAATATACAGACCTCCATCTTTTAAAGATATCTCAAACTTTCTTTCTTCCTTAGATCGGGTATTATCAGACCATTCACAGTTTTCAAACATCGTTTTAATAGGAGATCAAATAGTAATGACAGTAGATGTGATGAGTACTTGAATTTGATTGCCAGTCATGGTCTTTTACCGGCTCACACAAAGGCAACTCATGGTAAAACAGCTCTAGACCACGTAATATTGAAAAGTAAGCTTAGAGCTACAACTATAGTATTGAATTCTACTGACCACAATGCTGTCATTGTTGCTCTAGAAAAAAACTAAAATTAACTACGCAATAAACGAAAGAAGTAAAGTTGATCACATAAAATTGGAAAAGTGCATTAATGAAATCGACTTTTCCTTTATTTACACTTGTAAAGATGCCAATGATGCACTTAACGACTTTGTGAATTCCCTTACCAAAAGTATACGTAACAGTACCAACTTTTACACTATGCCGCATCGCTTACAAATCCTTAAACTTTGGATTACCCCGGGTATTCTTCGATGCATTAGAAATAGGGATAGAATGTAAAATATGTGTTACGACATCCCACAAATGAAATACTGAAGACTACATATAATAGATACAGAAACTTTTGCAGTAATATAATTAAAAAACTTAAAAGACAGTATGAATCCAAAAAACTGTATACTGCGCAATCTAATCCAAGAAAACTCTGGAATCTTATTAGACACGTAACACATAGGACAAAAAGTAACATTTCTCCTAGAGAGTTGTTTTTTGTTGGTATTGGAAAAGATCTCGCAAGTAAAGTCCCAAAATTCACTAAGATTAGTAAAGCATCTAAATTACAACATAGCGGCTTTTGTGCTTCTTTTGTACTTTTTGAAGTTGACGAAACAGAAATTAAAAGTATAATAAATTCTTTGCGGACTAATTGTGCTGTTGGTATCGATGGAATTTCATCCAGCATTCTTAAGACATACAAGTCGGTTCTCGTCCCTCCCTTAACTTACATTGTCAATGTATGCATCAAGTATGGGGAGTTCCCTGCTTTACTCAAAAAAGGACTGATACATCCAATACACAAATCTGGAGACAGAAACAACGTAAATAATTATCGTCCAATATCAGTATTACCGGCTCTATCTAAAGTACTCGAAAGAGTGATGAATAACCGCCTTAAAAAATATCTTGAGGACAATAAATTGATATCAGACAGACAATTTGGTTTTAGAACTAATAAATCCACCAACGATGCGGTACATGAACTAACTAACTTGGTTGTGAATTCATTGGACACAGGCAAAAAGTATGTAGGGATATTTCTAGATTTGGCTAAGGCCTTCGATACGGTGTCCATACCAAATCTTCTTAATAAATTGGAGAAACTGGGAATTTGAGGTAACCAGTATAAGTTGTTCCAAAGTTACCTTACCGACCGCACGCAGTCTGTAAAGATTGACGAGTATATAAGTGATGCGCTTCCGGTGGAATATAGTGTACCTCAGGGAAGCATACTAGGACCCACCTTCTTTTTGATATATCTAAATGACATGTTTAAACTTGAACTTACAAATGGTAAAGTAATTGCTTTCGCGGACGATACAGCATTAATATTTTCTTCAGATACTTGGGAACAAACCTATATGGGTGCTCAAAAAGGTTTTGATGCTGTAACAAATTGGCTCTCTGACAACACCTTGTCATTAAATATTGATAAAACCAATTATCTACAGTTTAACATCAAACGAATTAACCATCTGGACCCAGAACAATTCCATATACGGGCACATAACCACAGGGACACAAAATGCCAGTGTGATTGCCCAGTACTGGGTAGCACACCAATAATCAAATATTTGGGCGTGATTCTGGATGAAAGACTATCATTTATTCCACATATTGAGGTACTGGCTAAAAGAATCCGCAAACTTATCTTTAGGCATTTAAGACATGTTGCTGATCCAAAGATCTTGAAGACTGTATACTATTCCCTATACCAGTCCTTACTGGGATATTATATATTGTCCTGGGGTGGTGCATGTAAAACCCACCTATTAAGACTTGAACGGGCACAAAGAGCCGTATTAAAAGTGTGTATATTTAAGCCTTACCGCTTTCCTACGAAGGATCTTTATGAGTATTGTGAAGTTCCGGCAGTACGACAATTGTTTATCTTGCAAATCATTCTTAATCGGCACTGTGTTGTAAATCTAAACAGCCTTGTTAAAAGCAACAAATCTAGACGAAAAGTTAAAATTCCACTTACTAAAACATTCAGAACTTCTTTTGGTCGTAAATATTATTACTTTTAAGGATGCTTTTTATATAATAAAATTAATAATAAATTGAACATACTACACAAAAGTAAACATACGTGTAAAACAATGGTTACAGATTGGCTCTTAAAATTAAATTATGAAGAAACAGAGGAATTTCTTACACCAGTAGGTGCTTAAGTGACTCTTAAATTTCTTCTATTCACATAGACAACAGAAAAAGACACACACACACACATATATATATATATATATATATATATATATATATATATATATATATATATATATATATATATATATATATATTGCCTAAATTAATGATTGTCAAAGTTTTTGAGTTAAAATTCAATAATCAAAAGATGTGAATTTGGAAAGAGGTTGGTACTTATAGCACAGAGTATTCTTTTTTAAGTACCAGCAGCTATAATATTATATCAAAATTGTGCCATATCTGTGATAATAAGATAGATAGATAGATAGATTAACACTTTATTATAACACCAAATACATAATTACGTAACATTCACAAACAATAATATTAACAAAAGCGTTATAATTGGCGGTCTTATCGCTAAGAGCGATTTCTTCCAGACAACCACTGAGTATGAAAAGTTATACAGAGACCATAGGGGTGTTATATGGCTTGGAATAAATAGTCACATTCATACATACAATCTACACCAAACTAAGTATCCTAATTAGACATATAAATATATATACATACATACACATACATATATTTACACATACACATACATATGCATTTGACAACATATAAACATACTTACACATATATACATACACATACATACATAAACATAACATATATACAATAAAAGTTTACACAGTAAAATCAGATTCACTGCGAAAGATAGAAATTTTTGAGCTGGTCTTTGAATATATTCAAAGACTGAGCGCGTCTGATATTAGTAGGCAACGAGTTCCAAAGCCGAACAGCTTGTCCAGCAAAAGAATGGTCATAATAGCTGGTGCGGTGAACAGGCATTGTAAGGGTCAGATTTTCTGATGACCTAAGGGTAAGCGATAGGGAATTTTGAAACTTAAAAAGTTCCTTGAGATAGCGTGGGGAGAAGGGATTAAACAAAATATTGTAAAGAAGTGCTAGTATGTGAATATTCCGGCGAAGCCTAATGGGAAGCCACTTGAGCTTACAGCGAAAATTGGAAACGTGATCATATTTGCGCAAGCCAAATATAAATCTGATACAGAAGTTTTGGAGTCGCTCAAGTTTATTTAGCTGTTCCTCCGATAAATCCAAATAGCAGGAGTCGGCGTAGTCTAGTAAAGGAAGCAACAGAGATTGTGCTAGCGCAATTTTAGTGGCTGTAGGAAGAAAGT